GGCAACAGTTGTGATTCCAGGACAGACAGCAGTATAGGGAGACCACTGAGCTATAGAAGATACTAGAAGCTATGTGGTAGTTGTGGAAGACCACCCAGAATGAGTTCAAGTGGTTTGGGATCTATCCATAGCAAATGCTGAAGCTGTGAGAGCGTGCCCTCATCTTCAGACAAGGCTGAGATGGTGACACACTTTGACTACAGTCCTTGCCCTCTACCAACAGAGTTTACCCAGCTATAAGCCCCACTTTACTAACCAGGACACAAGATTAGCAAAGTCAAAGCTAGATCTGGAGATGTAACCCAGTTGGTAGAGTGTCAACCCAGCACATATGAAGCCCTTTATTCTACCCACCCCAGCACCATATAAACCAAACCAGGTATGATAAGGCACACCTGTTATCCCAATACTTGAGGATTAGAAATTCAGGATTATCTCCATACAGACATCAAAGCTGCTCACCAGAGGAGCAGTACAGCTGGTGTCAGAGCTGAGAGACCAAACTTGCAGAGGCACAGGACCTCGGCAGCCACCACAGGAGCATGTGGCATGGCATCCGGTGGTCTAGGGCCATCCTCTCAGTGTGACTTTCTCTGTGGTGTATTCAAGGCCAATTAGAAGGCTGGATGTAGCAGACTGGACTGGGCCCTATAGAATTATATGAAGCTTGATCTCAACTGTGAAACTACCTTTGAACTGTATCTTCAAGGATAGGTTTCTCATTCTACCATGCTAATGAGGTTTTCTAGGTAGGGCTATGGTCCTTGAAAAGGCTAAAGCAGCCACCTAGCAAATGGAGGAATAAAATACCACTTGCTGGGTTGATGTGCACCCCAGGGAAATCTGTCAAATGGGGACAAGCTACAGTGTGGATTCTGGGGTACCATGCAAGATACCCACAAGCCCTACACCTATGACATATTTCCCTCACACATCTGTGGCCAATATAGGTCCCAGTCCTAAAAAGTGACAAATTGGGCTCATCCCAGGCAGGCTTTGGACCTGGTAAACACTCAGCATTCCTCAAAAACCTTATAAAGTGGATTTCTATTTGCCAGAAAAAGTCATTACTTTTTTAGCCGCTTCTACAGCACCGCTTCCCCCAATCTCCAGAGAGGACATGTAGTTCTCTATTAACAGGTTTCCACACTAATTCCTAGACTGTTCCAGTCAACCTGCCCTCCTCCTTACAGGACTCTTCCGCTAGTTTTCCTGTCTTCTCTGCTCCTCTCTGTCCCCGAGGACACTGGAGCGGACATACTGGCAGTTTCTTTATTACACCCCTTGCATACACACAAAGAAAGAACCTCTTGGATGTTACCAAAGCCTTGTTTTTCCATACCATTAAGGGTTTTAGAGCATGGTGCCTGGGGTGAATCAAGAAACAGACCTGGGGAAAGCCCTTACAAGCAGAGAAAAATAAACAAAACCCTTCAAACCTTCTCTCTTGTGAGTGTGAATGAATGGGGTGAATTTCAAAGGAAGGGTTGAAGACCTGTTTGACAAAGGAGAAGTGGCAAGAGGGTGTTCCAGTGGTCTGAGGAAAGACATGTCAGAGTCTAATGAGAGAAGGTACTATCCTAAGGTTATGGGAAGAGGTCAGTAGGGTAAACACAACAAGGCTGCCAAGAGGTGAAGGGTCAGGGCATCCAAGGCTCAGCAGTAATAATCCTCGGTGTAAAGCCTGGAAAGAAGCAGTGTCTGACAGGGTGGATTAGAACTGCAGGGATGTGGGAGAGCCGCAGTGCTGCAGGTCTAGAGACTAATCACCTTATCTCGGGGTAGGCTGTTTATAAGTTCATCAGTTCATAGTTGGCTTGCCTGTATGTATGCCTGGGCACCTTGTGCATGCAACAGTCAGTAAAGGGTGTCAGATCCCTTGCAGCTGCAATTAAAACGCCCACGAGCTGCCATATGAGTGTTGGAAGCTGGACCTGGTCCACCGGAACAGCCAGTGTTCTTAACAGATGCACCACACTCCTGCCCATCTCAGGCCAGCATTAGCTGCTGGAACCACCATCCTTCCTCACCTCTGCCAGAACTAACAGCCGATGCCTAATAAAACCTTTGGGTCCTATTGATTTAGCAGACCACTCGCTCCCATCAACCCCAAAGCTAAGAATGGCATTAGATGGTCTGAGACCTACAGGAGAGCCTCCTCCATCTTGCTGTGACCACCTTTTTGATGATGTATTTTGAAATTTCCTTAATAATGGTCTTCTTTGCTGTGTAAAACAATGAAACTTCATGAAGCTTGTCTCCACAGCGAAACAAGAAAGTTGGGGTAACCTAAATCTGTGTTCCTGAGTCACGGTCACACAAATAGGGCTCCAGAATAAACTATCTCTTTATTCCCTTTAAGGTGAGAGATGTGTTTTTCTTTTCACATCAACACTGGAGATCCCAGCAGGGTGTCATCTGAATCCCTCATTTCCAATTCTGCTTCTCCAGGTGTCCCACAAGAGCTATCTTGGAGGGGTGTTTGTCTGCACCCCATTTGGCAACAGGACAGTTTCCCTCGGGCTGAGACCATGCCATTACTACATTGTGCTTAATTCTGAGCACTAGCAAAGGATTGGGGGTCTGGAAGCTGAGGAGTGGCTTGCTTTTTTTTTTATTGTTTTGTTTGCTTGCTTGTTCTTTTGTGTTTTTTGTGACAGGGTTTCTCTGTGGCTTTGGAGCCTGTCCTGGAGCTAGCTCTTGTAGACCAGGCTGGCTTCGAACTCACAAAGATCCACCTGCCTCTGCCTCCCAAGTGCTGCGATTAAAAGCGTGTGCTTTTTAATCAAATCACATGACATTCTCTATCATGGTGTTCACTGCCAGTGACCAAGTCAAAGGAGCAGCAGATGACAATTGAGTTTCCAGAGTTCAGTTCAGCTCACCAGAATGCAAAGCACTGAAGGGTTACTCTCTGATAGGCAGGGTCCCCAGGGCTTCAGGTCCATGTCTCTTGCTACTGCTGTGCCTTCACATATTTGCCGCTGTTATTTTTCTCTGGTATCTGCCATGGTGTACAGAGATGTGGGGAACCCCCACTGTCTTTTCGTATTATGATTATCTCACGGAAATACCCCCCTCTACTGGGCATTTTTACTTGTGGATTATTATGAAAATGATTTCCTCTTAAGATGTACGGCTTGACTAAAGTAATGATTTTATGCAATAGTTTTAGATTAAATAGAATTTTGATGATTGAAGGTTTTAAACAAATTTAATAAGGAATTGTTAGTTTATTGGGAAAATTAATATAGGCAAAGGTAGGATACAGTATTGCCTCTGCTCCTGATAAAGCAGGGACTGAAGAGTATAGAAAATAGGAACAAGGAAGTGTCACACAGCTAAAATTTTCACTTGGCTTGAGTGGTATAGACTATGGTTTAGGTTAATGATTAAGAAAACAATCCAATCCCAGGAGTCAGGCCAACTCAAATCCTTTTTGATGTTGGGAAATGTAAAACAAAGGTCTAAATAATTGCCTTTATGTGATGAAAAAACAAAGAATTGGATGGTTAGTTAATTAGACAGGACTCTAAAATATAAAAAACAAATAACTTGCTTTTCTGGCAACTACAAGAACTACTAGCTAGGTAAACAGCTATGGCTGGAAGGCTCCCGACCTGTGAGGAGTCTCAAAGAAGAACGCTCAGCTGAGCGTGGCTTGGGGAGAAAATGCATAGGGATGCAGCAAGAAATATAGTGGGGTGGCCTGTTCCAAAAAAATGTTCTTATGGTGATTATGTAGTAACTATGTAACTGCTGGTTATGAGGAAACCCTCCTCTTGTAACAGACTTGGTGTGGGGAATATATAAAAAGTGTCTGGGGCTGGAGAGATGGCTCAGAGGTTAAGAGCATTGCCTGCTCTTCCAAAGTTCCTGAGTTCAATTCCCAGCAACCACATGGTGGCTCACAACCATCTGTAATGGGGTCTCGTGCCCTCTTCTGGCCTGCAGGCATACACACAGACAGAATATTGTATACATAATAAATAAATAAATATTTAAAAAAAAAAAGCAAAAGAAAAGAGTGTCTGAAAAATAAAGTAGAGAGGAGGAGATCCATCCGGAGAGGTAAGTGTGTGCCTGCCTGGCTGGCCAGATGTCCCGGGAACGGAGTACAAGCCCCCTCCAATTCCCTAAACAGTGGAGTGTCTCCCCCACTACTGGCTCTATTTACCCCATCCCATCTTACCCCCAAGCTCTCCTTCCCATCTGTGTGGTCCTTAGATCCACCACCATAGCCTGCTTCAGGGCGGGCGGGGGGATGGGAGTGGCAACATAAGATCTCCTGAGTAAATTGGGAGCATGGGGACTTTAAGGGAGGGTGGAGGGAGGAGAGAGGCAGGGAGGGGAGCAGAGAAAAATGTAGAGCTCAATAAATATCAATAAAATAAAATTTACAAAAAGGAAGGTAGGAAGGAAGGAAGGAAGGAAGGAAGGAAGGAAGGAAGGAACCTAAATTCAAGTGGGGGTGTGTGGGAGTGGCAGCATACACCCTTAATCCCAGCACTTGGGAGGCAGAGGCAGGTGGGTCTCTGTGAGTTTGAGGCCAGCCTGGTCTACAGAAGGAGTTCCAGGACAAGACACCAAAGCTACAGAGAAAGCTTGTCTCGAAAAAACACACACACACACCCCAAAAAAACCTAAAATCTAAATTCAATCTGCAAACCCCACTTTAAAAAAATCAGATACAGTGTGGTACATGTGTATTTACAGCACCCATCTGACAGGATGGATGGACGGAGACTATCTCTTGGAAGCTCACAAAACCACTAGCCCAGACCATGCAGCAGCAGCAGAAACCAGAGAGGAGAAAATGGACTCCTAGAAGTTGTCCTCTGACCTCTACATGTATGCAATAACTCACAAGTACCAGCAGTCACACCCAAATAACAGACTAATGGTTGGTTCCAATGTCACCACATAGGCTACACGGGAAAAAAAAAAGGCACAACAGACCTGAGCTAAGCCCAAAAAAGAAAAGCACCGTGAACAGTAAATGCCCCAGATTTCATTTATTCAAAGTACATCCGTACAATAAAAAAGTATTAATTATTGATGGTACAAGTTCAAGATAGAGACTGTTAATAAAAAGTAAAAATAATAGTTACAGCCAGATGTTTCAGTGGGTAAAGGTAATTAATGATCACCAAGCCTGACAATCAGAGTTAAAACCCCAGGGTCCACATGGTGTGAGAACACTAACTCTCCTGACAGCCAATACACCTAGCAGCATGTGTACATAAATATATACAAAATAAATGAATGTACAGCTTAATAATAAACTGCCCTCTTCTAGTATGCAGTTAATTCTACAGAAAATTCCACAAAATTGTGGGAATACATACAAGTTCATACAGGCACTGACTAAGCACAGGCACATGTTTACATACACACACACTCACACACACACACATTCCATACACATGCCATTTATATAATCACCCTACTATTACCATGGCTGGTAGCTAAGGATTTTACTGGACTCCCACAATAAATGGAATATCACTGACTTAATTTCCCATAAACTTTCTAATAATTTGGTAAAATGTGTCTTATATTATATTCTATAAAAACACTTCTGAAATTAGTCAAGGTTAACCTGAAATGAAATTCATGTTTAACAAGACAAATATAAACAAGTGTGCTTATCATTATTAATTTGTGACTAACTTTCCTCATGCATAATAATGTCTGTTATGTCTAAACAATGCATAACTAGATTGTTTTCTGTAATATTAATCAGGTGATGTGCAATTTGATGGCACATAAAAAGAACTTCAAGTAGATAGAAATAAATTTCATTTTGGAATATACTAGTAAGCTAGGAACTCTTTTCTCAGTAAACCGTGTTCTATAAAACCGCACCTGTAAAACCTGTGGTATGAGCCATGTAGTCTATATGCTGAGTCTGGCCTGTTAGGACCTTCCTTCATTCAGAACACACATAGGGCATCCCCACCCATGAACTGGTGACGTGACTCATCTGTGATATAGTAACAATTTCCCAATTGTGGCATTCCAAATCCTTCTCTTCAATATGAGTTGAGAGACAAAGGCCTCGCCCTCGTAGCACGACTAATACAGACCACAGAAGATACTGGGGTTCACCCTGAAGATTCGCCCTCGTAGCATGACTAATACAGACCACAGAAGATACTGGGGTTCACCCTGAAGATTCGCCCTCGTAAGCACGACTAATACAGACCACAGAAGATACTGGGGTTCACCCTGAAGATCAGAAAAGCAAAGCAGTCAAGCCACGAGAGAGCTCTTGCCTCTATGAAATCTCCACACTGAAAAGAGAGCGAGTTCCTGTCTCCTCCCATCTTACACTCTCTAGTGCTGGGATTGAAAGCATGCACCACCACTGCCTGGCCTGTATGGCTGACTAGCATGACTGCTGGGATTAAAGGTGTGTGCACCACTGCCTGGCCTATATGGCTGACTAGTGTGGCTAACTTTGCACTCTGATCTTCAGGAAAGCTTTATTTGTTAGATCATAAAAAGTATCCCTGTACACCTCAGCATGAGACGTGTGATGTCTAGAAAGTGAGCCTGCTACTGAAAGCTGCTCCCCACTCAGAGCACAAAGGGTCTCCCCCGGGTGACGTCATTTGTTCATGCCGTCGGCGCAGGGCATTAGTAAGCAAGACTTTCCCACAGAGGCTTCACCGTGCAATCTGATGGCATGCTCAGTCTGACATTCCTAAGGCTTGTTCTCAGTGTGCGTCTGTACATGGGACGTCAGCTCTGCCTTGTGTAAGAACACTTTCCCACACCTCTCACAGACGAAAGGCGCTTCCTTCCTGTGAATCAGCTTATGCTTAGAGAAAACCGACCTGCTCCGGAAGGTTTTCCCACAGTGAGTGCACACGTAAGGTCTCTCTCCTGTGTGAATGCGCTCATGCTCTTGCAGTTGGACCTTAGTACAAAAGGCTTTCCAACAGTGGCTGCATTTGTAAGGTCTCTCTCCCGTGTGAATTAAAAGATGCACCTTCAGTTCAGATGGAGAACAAAATGATTTCCCACAAAAATTGCATTTGTAAGGCTTCTCAAGCAGGTGAATTTTTTCATGTCTGCTCAATGTTGACAATTGTTTGAAGGCCTTTCCACACACAGAGCACACGTAAGGCCTCTCCCCTGTGTGAATTCGAGAATGCGCCTTCAGTTGAGATGTTTTACTAAATGATTTTCCACAGTCAAGACATTTACAGGGCTTCTCTCCCGTGTGGATCTGATAGTGGGATTTCAGTTGGGATGGATAATTAAACAGCTTCCCACAGTCGGGGCACTTGTAAGGCTTCTCGCCAATGTGAAGCTGCTGGTGGGATGTCAAAGTCGACTCCTGTAGGCCTGGCTCACATTTCTGAGAGACGAAAGGCCTCTCTTTAGTGTGAATTAACTGATGTTTACGAAAAGATGACCTGCTACTGAAGGCCTTCCCACATTCGGTGCACACAAAGGGTCTCTCCCCCGTGTGAATGCGCTCATGCTCCTGGACTTGCTCCTTGGTAGAGAAGGCTTTCCCACAGTGGCTGCATTTGTAAGGTCTTTCTCCTGTGTGAACACGAGAATGTGCCTTCAGCTGGGACATTTTACTGAACAGTTTCCAACACTCGCGGCATTTGTAAGGCTTCTCTCCTGTGTGATTCTGATAATGCACTTTCAGTTCACACGGAAAGTTAAAGGACTTTCCACACTCGTGGCATTTGTAAGGCTTCTCCCCGGTGTGGCTGTGGCAGTGCACCTTCAGCTGGGACGGGTAATTAAAGGACTTGCCGCACTCCCTGCAGCTGTAAGGCTTCTCCCCAGGGTGAAGCTTCTCGTGTCTGTCTAGTATTGACTTCTGGTTGAAGGCCTTTCCACACTGAGAACACACATAAGGCTTCTCTCCTGTGTGGATTCGCTGATGCACCTTGAGCTTGGCTGTTTTGCTGAATGACTTTCCACATTCGTGGCATTCGTAAGGCTTCTCGCCCGTGTGACTTTGACGATGCACCTTCAGCTGGGATGGAAATTTAAAGGACTTTCCACAGTCATTGCATTTGTAAGGCTTCTCTCCATCGTGACTTTGTTTATGGGACATCAACTCTGACTTACGTAAGAAGGCCTTCCCACATTTGTCACAGATAAAAGGCGTGTGATTCTTGTGGATCAATTCGTGTTCATAGAGAGCTGACCTGTCTCTGAAGGCTTTTCCACACAGTGTGCACACAGACGGTTTCTCCTCTGTGTGAATTTGCTCATGCTCTTGGAGCGCAGCCTTAGTAGCAAAGGTTTTCTCACAGCGGCTGCATTTGTAAGGCTCCCCTCCAGTGTGAACTGGATGATCCACCTTCAGCTGGAATGGATAACTCGATGAATCCGACACATAAAGGAAGGCCTTCCCACCATTGAACATAACAAGAGGTCTGTCCAAAGTGAGAGTGACCTCAGGCTTGGGCAAAGATAGAGCATACAGCACTTCCCCGCACCGAGGGCCTTGGTCTGCTTTCTCCTGAGAATGGTTTTCATGGACCGGTGGTTGTTGACAGCTGAGAACTTCTCCATTCCCAGTACTTCTGCATGGCTCTCCTCCATGAGCAGCCACACAGTTAGCATCACAAGAGCCTCGTATCAGGAGCTGACTGGATGCGACAATGTTAATAAGCTGCTCGGTGACACTGCTTTCATTCTGACCCTTTGCTCTGAGGTTTAGCCCCAAACTTTTTGGAAGTAAACAATATTGTGGAAGATTCTCTTGTGCAGAAATGAGGTAGGGTCCCAAAGGAATGGTTTCCCTGGGCTTTTGATATTCAGGTCCACTATCTGTGCTCAGAGTTTTCTTGAGGAAGGTGCCAGGAGGCAAGGGTAGAATCTGGCTTTGTTTATCTCTCGTAGCAGTATCAGAATCCTGCCGTTGTTCTTGCAAAAGTGAACACCACAAACCATTTCTTGTGACTTCGCTGGCCATATCACTATGAACTGAAGCTTTCTCAGATACTTTCTGTGGTGAGGTTTCAATTTCTGATTTTTCTAGGAACATAAAGAGACAAAAGAATAAACAGAGTGAAGAGGATGAAGGATGAATGATACAGAGAGGCTGTGACTGAATATGAATGCCTAAATCAGTTACTAATGATGCTGATGATGCTGACAATTAGTAAAAAGAAGCTAATCACAACTGTATACAATGGGGATCACCTACATAGCAGACATTAGTATAATTATGACAACAATGGATCAGAGGATGAAGAATATAGACTATCCAGCTGAATTTTTAAGACAGCAATATATAAACGTGATAAAAACTTCAGTGATATTTCATTTATATTTTAAAAAATAAAGCTTGCCTGAAGTTCAGAGAGTAAAACAGCCACACTGGCCAGTCTTACAGACCAGACCACAATAACACACACCTTAATCCCAGTAGCCACACTAGTTTGCCATAGAAACTGGGAGGTACAGGCCTTTTATCCCAGTGGTAGACACCTTTAATCCCTGGACCAGAGAGGAATATAAAACGGGAGGAGACAGTTCTTAAGACACAGTCTCATTCTGAGATTCCTTGGAGTGAGGTCGAGGCAAGAGCCAGTGGCTGGCTGTTTTACTTTTCTGACCCTTTAGGCTGAACCCCAATTTCTGTCTCTGAGTTTTTATCAATTGCACTACATAGAACATCAGAAAGTTACTGAATCTTATATAACAGAAATTAGCTGCGTGTTTCTAACTAAATGTATCAAAACCCGAAATAGCATCATTTGCTGCAGTAACATTTTGATTGATAACATGTCTTAAGTGGAATTCATACATCACATAAGGAAAACTTAATCTAAATAAGAAAGTCCCAGACATGATGGCACAGGCCTTTAATCTCTGCAGTTGGGAGGCAGAGGCAGGTGGATCTCTATAAGTACAAAACAGCCTAATTGACAAAGTGAGTTCTAGGACAGCCAGGGCTGCATAGAGCCCTGCCTAAAAAATAACAGTAATAACCAAAAAATACATAAGTAAAATACCACAGAAATAAATAACGGAAGAAGGGGACGGTCTGTACTGATGCCGATGGGGGTCAAGAAAAATAACTTGTGCATTCAAAAAGGAAAATGGGTGGGGCCAAATAATAAAACAAATTAAAGCACCAAAAGAAAATAGTTCAGAGAGAAGGATAATCAGCCAGACTAAAAAAAAAAAGACTTTCTAACTTGAATGAGGTAGATTCCAGTTTCTGCTCTTCCAAAATGAAGGAAGCGAATCCTCTTGCAGGAATGTTCTCATCTAAACAAGGCAGCAGAGACTATAAGGTCAGGGACCAAGAAACCATAAGAACACAGTGAGAACTGCACATTCAGAAGGAACAGAGCCTTTAAGGCAAACCTGCCACAGAATGAGAAGAGAAACATACAGAACACTAAGCCTAAGGTGCCACAACTAAGGGGAAGAAATAGACCAGCACAGGAAAGGAAAAAAAAAATCAATAAACTCAGAGGCAGACAGGAAAAGCAAAGACAGACACAAAATAAACAATAATAAGAACCCCAAGGACAATATGCTAATTCAAAGTCAGTGGTTAGAACACACAAATTACAACAAGTCCTTCCTCCATTACTTGGACAATATAGTAACCAACTTGGCTAATGTCAGATGTTCACGAACAAGTGTGTGTTTACACATGGGGGTGTAACTGGTCATCATTAGTAGAAAATGGATGAGTTAGTTCACTTAGGTTCATTCATATCTATGGTCAGAGAAGCTGTCCCACAAACTCGCCTTTCATAAAGAAAGTCTCACATTGCCTTACACCAATAATAAATGGATTTCAGAAATAACCACAAGAACTCCAAAGAGAAAACAGCATAAAGGTGACCACCACCGGGAACTTGGTGAGACAAACTGACAAAGGCCTCATGAAATCTACCCCCACCTGGGAAGCAATGGCTCACCTGGACACTGCTGGCCTGGGAATTCAGTCTTCCCTGCCTGTGCTTCCTTTCCTTTTTCCATCCTAAAGATGACTCCGGGGCTGGGAATGGGGTATCCTGTTAACCAAAAGCATATTGGATTTTTGGGTCATCTCTTGTCTTTAGATGATACAATGAAGCTTGGCACTGCCTCACTGCTAAAACCAAGTCAACATTTTCTATTTTGTACAACTAATACTTGTAGATACACAAAAGAAATGAAACATCAGGGCAAACAAAGCAAACACACACGGGGTGGGGGTGGGGTTACTTCTGATACCCCACCATGTTTTATAAAGAGAAGGAAGGAAACCTCAATGGAGCTCATCCTGGATCTCCAAGTGGCTGTGCTCACCCACTGCCAAGAGGTGACTGTAGATCTCCAGCATCACGTCCTGGTACAGGCGTCGCTGGGCGGAGTCCAGGTGCTGCCACTCCTCCTGGCTGAAGTCCACAGTCACATCCTCAAAGGACATCCACCTCTGTAACAATGTACCACAGTTCAGGGTGAACGACTCATCATCGGAAAACAGGAAAGTTTGCATAAGGTTAGGTTTTCAATGATGGCGCGCTGCATTTCCCATTAAGCTGGAGGACAGAGAGCACTTACAAAGCCCTCAATCCTGCCGTCCACCACACAGTCACATTTCTAAGGAACTAGAAGAGAATTCTTTTCAATACTCTAAGGAAGAGTACACGGCACAATGCTGACTGAGCAACCATATTCCAGGTTGGAGTTAGCTGGACCCACTGGACTCAACATTATGAAACAGGCATTTAGAAGCTGCTTTGCTAAAAGTATTAACTCCTCACTTGGGAACTAAATGCCAACTAAGAGCCTGGCATCTCTACTTCATTTTGTGTCTGTCTCCTTGGCTCTGGGCCACCTACTGACGTCTGTACATGAGCACATGTTCCTCCGGGAGCACCAGTCTAAACATCCCAACTCCCTTCAGAGATAAAGGACAAAGATTGGTCACTGTTCTTGTCCTTAAATCTTCTTCCTGAGGCTGTGCCCTGAGCAGAAGTAATTACCCTATAAGAACCCTCTTCTTGCAATAGGGACTTCTTAGTTATACTTGTGGCTGCTTATTAATCAGCTGTGAAAACAAGACCCCTACCACCTGGGTCCTAGCACCAAAAACAAACAAACAACAACAAAATTTCCTTTTCTTCCTCTTCCTCTCTTCAAAGAGAGCCTTATTCTATGGCCTCAGCAGCCTGGAACTTGTTGCATAAATCAGGATGGCCTAGGACTGCCTCTGGGTATATAATATTTTTTCAAGATGTTTCTATTAAGTATTTTGTAGACGTGAAGAGAAAACTAATAAGAGAATACACCTGCATTTTACCTTATTGGCACTTCTTTCTCCCTGTATACCTGTACAATGCATTTTATAAAACTCCCGATACCACGTAGGAAAAGAATCCTCACATAAAAATATCTTAAATTCACCAACCATAGACACAGATGACATTATTTGAACAAGGAAACTAAAAAAAAAAAGAAAACACAAAATCTTACATATAGCTACTGCTAATTATGCAACCTTCACTCCCTCTTCTGAAGCCCCCACATGCTGTAGATGTCCCTCTGCCCCTCGGCTTCAGTTGATATAGACACCTCTTGAAACCATTTCCAAGCCAACTCAGGATCCTTGGTCCACCTGAGCAGAGCTTGTGATGGTCACTGTGAATTGCTAACTAATGTGAGACCTGTCTTAATTATAGACAAGCCCATGCTCTGAGCATGACTATAGAAGGTGGGGGGAAGGGGAATTAGAGAGATGACGGCAGTTTAGAACATCTGTTGCTCTTGCAGAGTACCTGGGTTCAAGTCCCAGTGCCTACATGGTGGCTCACAACCAGCTATAACTCCAGTCCCAGAGGATCTGATGCTTTCTTCTAGTCTCCAAAGAACCAGACACACACACTGTACACACACATGCAAGCAAAACATTCATCACGCATATAAAATTTAATAATCCCATGATACGGACTCTTCAAATAACACAGTCCACAATGCTGAGTCTCCCTGGCCCACCATCACACTAGATCTTACATGTTTAGATTTAAAGACCAGCTTCCTAGAAATGTAAGAATGGGAATTCATGCTAAAGGACAGCATCGGCAACTTAGCCAAATTCAGAATTTGTCTAAAGGATAACCCAAAGTTCTTCAAGAAATGATTAACATAGGGGAGAAAAATTAAGAGATTAAAAGAGACTAACATGCTTTTTAGTTAGGCTGGCTATGTGAGCACTGGCTGGACCTCGAGAGGAAGACTCCACATATGGAAGTATGATCAGGAACAAATGACTTTAAGGATTAATGGTTATGTTAAGTAGGTTATTATCTCAGAGATAAAAACCAACACACAGAACAAAGTGTAGGCTCTAATATTTGGGTTACAATAACCTAGCAAGAAACATCCTAAAAGAAACAGGATGGGACCTGTGCTGATGATCACTCAGAGAAGGGCCATTCTTTTACTCGTGGATGAAAGTCCTAACACTAAACACTGATAATCTGAAGGTGCCCACATGCCTAATGGGGCACATGGCTATTTCTTTCTAGGCCTTCAAGTACTTTTGACAGATCTTCCAGGCTGACACTAGTGACACCGGCAAACAGGCAAAGAGGTGCCACTTACCTATCGTTCTTCTGTGTGAAAGATATTTTGTATTAAAATTCTCTACATTAAAATAGAAGGCATATTACTCTAACCATAATGGATAATTCCAGAAGTACTCCATTGTGCCAGAAGCAAAGGCCTGTATTTTGAGATCTGCATTTTGGTTACAGCCAACTTAAGCTCACAAGTTAAGAAAAATATTTACCTCTATCCCCTCTGCAGGGTCTAGAAAATCAACCTGGCATCTTATCTCCTAACAGAGACCTGCAGGCACCAGGCTCCAGAACCTATTAGCATTCTCCTTGGTTAGTCAACAATTACAGACCCTCAGTATTTACTTATCAGCTAGGAATGTCTCCGGACCTGAGTTCCAGTAGACCTGAGCTTCCTGACACCCTTCCCTTCCCCCTGACACCTTTCCCTTCCCCGCTTTGCCCGTTTGCTATATAACAGCTTCTGAGGAAATAATAAACGGAACGGCTTGATCAGAAATCCTGTCTTGCCGTCATTTCTCGTATCTCTTGTCTCCTTTCATTCCTCTCCACTAGGTTTATCAGGGAGTTCCGTTCGTATCCCGCAGGCCGGGATACCATTGAAATGTCTAATGGAGAAAATATCAATGATAATATTACTATGAGAAATTTCCTTTGGAGCATTCAACAATGTATTAAAAATTGTTGCTTCCTCTGGTAGAATGCCTGCAGCCAGGTTAGGGACACACTTTAATGTCACCACTCTGAAGACAGTTGGCGGGTGGATCTCTGGGAGTTTGAGGCCAGCTGGGCTTACATAGTAAGTTTCAGGACAACCAGGGCAACATAGAGAAACCCTGCCTCAAAACCAAACCAAGCCCCCCAGAATGCATACACCCCCCAAATTTATATCAACCTTTGATAGATGATCAATTCTGAGAGTGGAGTCTTCACGATTGGAACACATGACAACAGAGCGAGAAGATGAACATGAGCAGCTGGGCAGCAGACCTCACCAGACAAGCACTTCGCCTTAGTAAGTGGGGAAAGCAGGGAAGACTCTGACTCAAACAAACACAGTAGAGCTCGGGGTCAACCTCAGTTACACAGCACTCTGTGTGCTGTGAATACCACTGGTGAATAAAGAAACTGCTTTGGCCTGTTGATAGGGCAGAACTTAGGTAGGTGGGGAAAGCTAGGCTGAATGCTGGGAGAAAGAGGGCAAAGTCAGAGAGAAGCCATGGAGCCACCGCCAGAGACAGACATGCTGAAACTTTGCAGGTAAGCCACTGCCACGTGGTGATACACAGATTAATAGAAATGGGTTAAACTAATATGTAAGAATTAGCCAATAAGAAACTATAGCTAATGGGCCAAGCAGTGAGTTAATTAATACAGTTTCTGTGAGTTTATTTCAGGAGTCTTGTCAGCTGGGAAATGAACAAGCAGCTTCCTTACAACATTTAACAAAAAGGAAAAAAATAATATTTAACAGTATAAAAAATTCAGAAGGAACAAAAACAGATAACTGAAAAAGCAAAACTGAACAGCAAAATAATGTAAACAATAAAAATATAAGTGAAAAAGATATATGAATCATAAAGAAAAATCAGAAGCAAAGTTCCTAAAAAATACTAAAACATAAGTAAACAGCAACAAAAAACAAAGAGGGAAAAGAAAGAAGCCAGGTGTGATGACAGATGCCTGCAGTCCCAAGTCCACAGAAGGTGAAGGCAGGAGGATGAGGAGTTCAAGGCAAGTGCCAGCTACACAGGGAGTTTGCAGCTAGTTTGGGCTGGAGAGATGGCTCAGCAGTTAAGTGCACTGCCTGAGTTCAATTCCCAGCAAACACATGGTGGCTCACAACCATCTGTAATGAGAGCTGGTGCCCTCTTGAGGAAGAGACCTGGTCAATCATCCTTACAAAACCCAACATGGACGAGTTCAACAGAACCTCCATATACAGGCTGCCATGCCTGCTTCAGCATTGCAGGACATAGATTTCATTTTCATATCAAGAAATACAGAAGACTGGGAGTAAGGAAGAAAAAGAACAATGACCAAATAACTAGATGCTCAAGAAATAAATGAACATCCACATATTTATAAACATAGACATTAAATCGCAAGCAAATGCCCTGCTTTCAGTAAGCTGACTGGCAGTGATCAATATGATAGCTGAGCCTGCACAGCTCTGTCTTGCAGAAGTGCGGGGTGTCAGACAATACATACTTCACAAAGACTGCAGTTTTCCAAACTGGCCTGACTAACTGATACTCTCAGCAGTGGCAGTGTTCCTCCTGCTTCCCTGGGACACAAGCACATCAACACTTGATATTTTTGTGGGGCTAATTTTAGACACTCCAATTGAAGGAGCCATGGCAATTATACATACATTTCCCATTCAGCTGAGGAAGCTCAGCTTTTCCTGTTTCCATTACTACACAAGCAAGTCTCTTGCTCATTCAATTGTATGCGGAAGAAGCTTGCACAAGAAGTTAGTCCAGGCACTCAAGACATAGAGGTAGTCAGATTTCTGTAAATTTAAGGTCAACCTGGCCTACAGAGCAAGGGTTACTGAGACCTTGTTTCCTTCTGTGACTTTCTCTCTCAGGAGGTCTCTAAGACTGGAGAAAGAGTGACTAGGGAAGGGGCACAAAGTAGCTAAGGATCATGACATGCTGATGAGACCCAGACAACAGAGGAATGGAAGACGCTGGCAGACAGTGCACCAGAATAAAAAATTTAAAAAAAATTAAAAAAAAAAAAAGACACAGAAAGCTTAAATTTTTGAAGCTCATAATATCCGTCCAGAAAAGCCACATCTCAAAATATCACGAACTACAAGAACAGGACGAAATGCCATTAATCAAATATCAAAAAGTTCTTAAAATTCCCTTTTTTAAAAGATTTTTTTTTTAATTTTATGAGTGTTTTGTGCCTGCAGGCTTATGCATCCCTGTGTGTGCAGTAGGCAGAGAGGCCAGAAGAAGCCAGTAGATGCCCTGGAACTGGAGTTACAGTTGTGAACTGTCTAGGAACTGAACCTGGGTCCTCTGCTAGAGCAGCCAATGTTCTTAACTGCTGAGTCATCTCTCTGGCAACCTAAAACTCCTTTAAAACAGAACACTAACTGAGCTGAAAATGGTGCAGCAGAGCAAGGCATATCCACCAAGACTGACAATGGAAATGTGACCCCAGGACCCACAAAAATGTGACCCCAGGACCCACAGAGCAGAAAGAACGAGGTCCAACAGTTGTCCTCTGACATCTATACTTTTGTGACACGTGTACATTCAAAGGACAGAGTAGCCAGGTGGGGGCGCACACCTTTAGTCCCAGCACTCGGGAAGCAGAGGCAGGTGGATCTCTGTGAGTTCAAGGCCTGCCTGGTCTATGAGAGCTACTTCCAGGACAGGTAGAGCTGTTACACTGAGAAACCCTGTCTCAAAAAAAATAAAACAAAATAAATAAATAAATAATATTAGGAAAAAAGAATGAGGGAAGCAGCACATTAAAAATAAATAATACTGAGAGATAGCTCGGCAGTTAGGGGCACTAGCTGCTCTAGCAAAGGACCCAGGTTCAGTTCCCAGCATACAAAGGTTGTTCACAACTCCAGTTCCAGTGGATTCTGCATCCTCTCTGGCCTCCTCACAGACACCTACTTATACACAGTGTATACGTGCAAAATCATGCAGGCACAAACTCACAAATAAATGTTTTAAAGCTTTAAAAATAAATAGCTAAGAATGGTAGAGCACACTTTTAATGTCAGCGTGTGGGATGCAGGAGGCAGATTACTGTGAGTTTGAGGCCAGCCCGGTCTACATAGCAAATTCCAGGGCAGCCAGGATACATCGTGAGAACCTTGTCTCAAAAATGAATGAATGAATGAATGTTAGGTCTCAAAGTAACCCTGGACAAATGGCTAACAAAGGTGCCTATTAACATGTGGGGGCCAATGCTGGCCTGCCATGTTTAGCCTGACTCTCTGCTCTGCCTGCTTCCTCCCTCGTATCTACAACACAAGTCTTCTCCACACTTCAGGAGTGGTCATCCACTAGGTGGGTCTCTGTTTAATGGACCCATCCTTAATCTTCCCACAAATGATGACTACCTTAGGATCCTGATCAATTTCTGTATCAGCTCAAAGACCCACCCTTCTAATATATAATGTGCTTTATTTTTCTCGCCATATTTCTCCCCCTACTCAGAAACACGCCTTCAGTTTGCTCCCCAATAAACCTTTCTACCAATGGAGAAGTCTGGTTTGGTGGTTTCGCTGTACCCTCACTTACATACCCATTCAAGGGACTCGTGCAAAGTACACCACAAAAACCAGAGCAGCTATGAACTAGAAGAGAAATCCATAGGACTTGGGGACTAAGGGACCTGAACACATGAAAAGAATTCCCATAAGACAGTGCAGGGAGCTAACAGGACAATGCAGAGGAGGGAGTGCTAAGAGCAGCCTGGCCATGCAGTTAGAAAATCACCAGAAGTTTCCTCAGGAGGAGCAGGAAATGGAACCGGCAGCCAGACCATGAAACACGCTGCCAGGTTTGAATCCCAGGCTAGCAGATGCTTCAACATTTAAGTTCAGCTGGTGTGTCATCTGTGCCTCAGTTTCTCTTCTTTAATATGAGACAACAGCATAAGCTCAGGAGTCTCCTGGAAGAGTTAGTCCACATCCTAGCTACCATCACTTCGACAGGAGACACCAGAAAAACAGATTCACCTGAGGAGTGCTAAGGAGTGGGGAGGAGCAGTTAGGAACCTCATCAGCCCCTCCCTCAGAGCAGCGCTTACAGATCTTATAATTAACATAAGCCTCCTAGTCTTTCTTTGGGATTGAAAGGCTGTGGAGCCAGGTGGGACAGAAACTTCTGCCAACAGAACTCTAATGCAAAAACTGACTTTTCCTTCTCTTTTTCAGATCCTGGGCAAAGTCTCCTAGCATGCTTTCCCGGGATCTCTGAAAATACCACCCACCTACAGCTGCCCCATCCCACGGCCACTTGCCGGCCTCACTGCCTAAATATAAGGTTTATGTCCCCTCCATCTCCCTCCCCCTGCAACTACAGGACTTTCAGGATATCTGCCTTGCAGCTTGTTCTGTTCTCCCTAAAACCCTAATATAAATCGTCCTGGGGCTTCCTTTTGAGTCCACTTTAAAATTCTTTTACCCATGAGACTAAGAACTGACAGAAAAGTACCTCCCCAGATGCACATCTCTTACAGGGCGGGCATAGCAGGCAACCTTTAAGAAACTGAGGACGGGAAGATGCGAAAGAGGAAGAACTATAAAAAAGAAAACTCAAGAGGAAAAGCTTGTCATTAAAAAAGTAGATAAGATGATATCTATAGTCGTTTAAATAAAACAGATGAGACAATATATACTACATCTATAGTGATGTAGACCTGTAATTCCAGACTGGAGAGTCTAGGGCAAAAAAGGTGTTGAGTTTGATGGCAACTTAGATTATACAGAAAGTTCTAGACCAGCCTCACATACACAATAAGACCCTGTATCCAAAAAAAAGGTAGGGCGGGGGGGGTGGGGTGAGGAGTAATTAGTTGGTGTGGGATATATACAGTCCACTCTTTTAACTAGATTAAAGATCTCAGAAATTTGGTAATGTAGGGTCTGCAGCTTCTTGTGTCTTACCTCACAGGCCCCATGTTGCTCCTCTGCACCCAATGGCTGGATCTTCTGCTGGAAATTCGTATCCGCAGCCATGTCCCCTCTGAGCTTCTAGTTTTGATGTTTCTTCTTCAAGAGTTACAGATGCTGAACAAGGCAACCTGGGGCACAGCAAGAGATCCTGAAGCCTGAATGATTTCAGCGGTCCCAGGAGCTGAGACACTGGCAAGCCCTAGAAGAAAAGGAATTGGTGAGGGCCCATGTGGAAGCTCACAGGCAGGCACCGCAGAAGGTACAGAAAGCCCTGCTGTTATTACTCAGGGGTATAAAACAAAAGAAACAAAAATATTTAAAAACCCATCAATTTGGATACACTTGCTGTGCTCACATTTTAACTAGGAGAAAAACAATATGCTAACCTAGTTGTTTACAAAATGAGAACACAGGTATTTATCATAGGGATCCAGAATGGTATGCCAGAGTAGGCTGACCAAGCCCTCAGCACCCGAAAGGTAGTAAACACCAACAAAAACTCAGTAAGCTGCCAATTTCATTTTCATTTTACTTCAAACAACCCTACACACAGTGAGCATTAGATTTCCTTCAATTCGCTCACAGGTCACTAACTAGAAGAACAGGGGAACAGATTCAAACTGTTTTCTTTCTAAGGAACACACTGGTCACCATAGTAGTTAGTTAGTCTATGTAACTTCTGTAGTCAGCATCTGAAAACAGCATTTCTGTTTCCTATTGCCCAGGATGGATGACAGCCAATCATGATTCTAGTCTGAGTTTCTAGAGATTTCTCTGTCCACACACAGCCACATCATGAAAAATTTACTCACCCAAACCTCACTCCCCAACACACACACACACATACACACACACACACACACATACACACACACACACACACACACACACACACACACACACGAGGCCCCAAACCCTAAGAAAATGCGCCAGGACCGCTCCACACTGAGCACTTCTAAGCTGTCCGTGAAGGCTCCCTCTCCACCAGAATGCAGGCACTAACATAGATAAGTTCCAGTGACCTCCAACCACTGCAGCACAGTACTGCCTCCAAGTCACTGACGTGTTCCAGGCAACTTAAACCATTATTGCCCTAGAACCCAAAAAGATGCTTCCAGGAGTGTATAATATACTGGTGTGTGTGTGTGTGTGTGTGTGTGTGTGTGTGTGTGTGTGTTTATGTATGTGTGGCTGTCTGTTAGTTTTTGAGATGGGGTCTATTATGTGGCTCTGGCTGACCTGGAACTTGCTACTTAGACCAGACTGGCCTTGAACTCACAGTGCCTCAGCTTCACCCGCGTTGAAATTAAAGGCACGCACTACCTCACCCAGCCAGATACACTGTTTTTAAGGGCTCTAAATCAGTACAAATGTTCAGGTACAAATAATAGAACCAATATGGAAGCACCCTCATTTTTGTCAACTGCCAGTCACTGAACCCAAAGAGAGCCGAGAACTGATGCACATAATCTCCAAAGGGTCTGGGGACCCTACAGTGGTCCAAAGAATGAGAATTTGGGCTGTGTGTGTGTGTGTGTGTTGTTGTTGTTGTTGTTGTTTTATAAGACAGAGCTTCTCTGTGTAGCTGACTGTCTTGGAACTCACTATGTAGACAAGGCTGGCCTCGAACTCACAGAGCTCCACCTGCCTCTGCCTCCTGAGTGCTGGGACTAAAAGCATGCACCACCACCGGCTGCTGGTGAGAATTTGTTTTTAATTGTGTTTATTTCCTTCAGTAATGCTAGCCACCCACAGTGGGAGGAACTAGTAAAGGAGATCCAACAGCAGCCCACAAAACAAAAGAAATTCCTTTCTTTACAGACCTTAAGAGAGAAGTCCCTGAGTTCAGCAGCTTAGATACTAGGCAAAGCGTGCCCTGCCATGAGACAGACAGACAGACAGACACACACACACACACACACACACACACACACACACACACACACGAGAGAGAACAATGTGACATTTGTGGCCTGATACTTTCTATTTTGGTATACTTGACGGCGTTTCTCTTCATGTACTAAGACACGACCAAGCGTACAGTCACTGGCTAAGCAAACGCTGCCCCGCACAAGCACCCGACACCCGCCCCCGGCTACCTCACTGCCTGCGCTGACTTCTACGCCGTCACGGCCTGAGTGGGTCACAAGCCACCTCAGGATCCTCGTCCTGAAGCTCCCGGCTCCCACCCAGGATCGGCTCCTGCAGCGCACACTCACTGAGTCCTGCCACGACAATTTTCACGGACGACCGTGAGAATTCCCACAGGAGAGCACACTGGGAAGTGACAAAACACAGAGGACGCGTAAACCGCAGGCACGGAACGAAACCGAATCGAACGGCCCCCACCTTACCCACGCATCCCCCTGCAGCCTCCGCAGCCGTCGCTCGGCAAAAACCAGCGCTCGGCAGCACAGCGACCGCCCTGCCCCGCAGCCACTCACCTCACTACACCGCACAGAGCTGTGCGCGCGGCCCGCCGGGCCGCGACTTCCGCCCGCGGACGCCACAGAGTCCCGGAAGGAAAGGTTCCGAGCCACCTCGCGGACCCGCCAGCGAAGCAACACTAAAATGACTAGAACATTTAACATTTCATGGCCATTTCCGGTGTCTTTTAGATTTCCGGCAGGATTTGTCCACGCCCCGTAGGATGATGAGCACGCCCCGAGCAACACTTTTGAAACCGAGCGCCTGCCAGCAGTCGTCATGGCGGACCAGGTGGTTGCAGTTTCTCTGCAAATCGCTGTGGCGGCATCCGTATGCTCAGGACGTTGGAGGCCTCCATCCAGGAACTTCGATTCCGTCCAGGCGGGGAAGCTGAATACAGTGCCATAGAGTGGAAGTTGGACGCTGTCCCACATGGTGTGACAGGCCTGACAGGAATTAATGATATTCTTAAGAGACATTTATTCTCCTTCCTTTGCAGACCACTGAGACAATGGACCCCAGAAATAGAAATCTCGTGATGGGGGAGGGGATATGCTGAAGCCAGGAGGCAGTTAGAGCTGGGACTTCTCACAGGAAAAAAAATATTTCATACAATTCTGACCACTTTGCAGAACAGACTGGAGCCAGAGAAAAAGATAGTGGGGAGTGGGGCACACTCTAAGACTGCTTAGTTGCATACCTTGGCTTCCATTTAAACCTAATTCTGCCGGGATAGGGTGCAGGGTGGAAAGGTAGCTCAGAAGTTAAGAAAGAGCACAAACTGCTAGTTGCAGAGGAACCATCCACATGGCAATCACAACCATCTATAAATGCAGTTCCAGGGGCTCTGATGCTCTCTTCTGACCTCCAAAGGCACCAGGCACACAAGTGGTGCACAGGCGTACATGCAGATAAAGCACCCATACACGTAAAATAAAAATTAAAATCTTACTGGACAGAGGTGGCACGCACTTTTAATCCCAATCTTGGGAAGCAGAGGCAGGTGGAGTTTGAGGCCAGCCTGGTCTACAGAGCAAATTCCAGGACAGCCAAAGCTACAGAGAGAAGCCCTGTTTCAAAAAATCAAAATATCAAAAAATAAGTAAGTAAAATAAAATCTTGGCCAAGTGAGGTGGTACACGCCATTAATCCCAGCACTGTAAAGGCAGAAGAAGACACCTCTAATTCTGAGCCAGCCTGGGCTACATAGCAAAATATAATCTAATCCCAAGACTTCCATTTTGCTATTGTGGAAAGGTGAACTATTCCCGACAGATCTCTATTGTTTTAAATTGTACTTTCCCAAGTTATGTAAGATTTGGAGGAAAGAAATTATTAATATACTAACAGAAACTTTCAAACTAATAGAATAGTCTGACTAGGGTGCTGCTCACCTTTAATTCCAGCATTTAGGAGGCAGAAGGCAGCAGATCTCTGTGAGTTTGAATCCAACCTGGTCTACACAGTTCAGTCCAGGATAGCCAGAGTAACATGGTAAGACTCTGTTTCAAAAGACAATGGAATAGAACATTAAAAAAAAAAACTAATAGACTGTCCATCCATGCTTCTCCACTATAGAGTGCATATGGAAATATCTAAAGACTTTCGTTAAATTTCTTCGTCTTGGTCTGTGCATATACACCTGCAATCCCAGCACTCTGCAAGCAGAGGCAGAGGGTGTCTGTCACTGCATCTCTTGTTCCTGACCTCTGCACAGACAAATTGAATACATCTCCTTTATCTGTTTTATCCTATTATTCATTGCTTCAGTTGGTTATCAGATTCTAGCTTGCTAGGCCTTTCGGGACCCAGGCTATGATGCTAAAAAATCTCAGTGGCATATATTTGGAACTCAGATCTTCAGGCTTGTCAACAAGAACTTTACCCACTAGCCTATCTCACCAGCCCTCTTTGTTTCTTTCTGCTTGTTTGTTTTCCCTTTCTCTTCTTCTTTCTTTCTTTCTTTCTTTCTGTCTTTCTTTCTTGGATAGGGCTTCTCTGTATTCCAGGCTGAACTTAAATTCTCCATCCTTCTGCATCAACCCCACAAGTATTTCAATTACAGTCTTGTGTCACCATATCTGGCTGAAATAAACTTTCTTGTACATGACAGTTTGGAATCATTGCATGGTAACCATTGAACAAAAGTCTACTCTCATTGCATAAAGTTTTTTTGGGAATGGGTATTGGTTGTTGTTGTTTTCATATGGAACACAACAGTGTGGGAGAGAGGTAGAGCACGAATGCAAATGGGGAGAGCCAGGTCAAAGGGTTAGGGCAGAAAGCTCCATAGAATCCTTTGGCAAACCACTACACAGTACAATAACCAGAGTAAAGAGTGTTGGCAATATATTGTCAGTATTTGGGAGTGCAGGCACAAGAAGTACACTTCCCTCTGCCACTTTCAGGATCCTAAGAAGTTCCATAGGAGATGTTTAGGGGTTTTTATTCAAACGAAACCAGTATTTATGGTTTCTGCACTGAAAAGAATTCCAGGATTAACCGTAGAACTTAAAATTTTATCAAAGATATATTTTAATATTCATTTATGTGTATGTTTGCCTGAATGTATGTATGTGCACCACAATTGTGCCTGGTGCCCTGGAGATAAGAAGGTGTTGGATACCCTGGAACTGCGGTTACTTACAGATGGTTGACAAACACGTAATGTAAATACTAGGCCCTCTGAGATAACAAGTTCTATTAAGCACTAAGTCAAAATGCAGAGAGACTCAAACCAATTTGTAATGATATTTCATTTGTATTTTAATAAATAAAGTTTGCCTAAAAACAAGAATGCAAAACAGCCACAATAATCAGCCATACCGGCCAGGCGGTGGTGCCACACACCTTTAATCCCAGCAGCCATACTACTTAACCATAGAGGCCGGGCGGTGTTGGCACACAGCTTTAATCCGAGCAGCCACACTAGTCAACCATAGAAGCCGGACAGTCATTGTGCACACCTTTAATCCTAGCACTAGAGAGGAATACAAGATAGAAGGAAACAGGTCTCAGGCTCAGTCTTATCATGAGGATTCATGGAGGCAAATGGCCATTTTGGTCTGAGGTAGAGGTAAGAGCAAGTAGCTGGCTGCTTTGCTTTTTGATCTTCAGGTTGAACTGCCATATCTGTCTCTGCATTTTTATTATTCATGCTACATTTGGCGGCCAATGTTTGGAGTATGAATTCATGAAAAAGTCTTTTACCTTAGGCTTTTAAAGCCGCCAGCATAGGCCAGAGCTGCACTGGGGGGGAGGTGGGGAGGTGTTCTAGCTCCATCTGGCCAGGATTTCTTTTATGTTTTCCCCAAGCCTCTGAGTGAGTTTGGGATTTTCATGTTGTAGCCTCTCTGAAACAGTCTCCATCCCCAGAAGCACCTGGGCTCTGAACAACACAGGACTCACCCACCCTAGACTAGCTGGTTCTTCCTTCAGGCAGCCCCCTGCCACAAGTGCTCTTTCTGAACAATCCCCTGTGCATTTTTCAGACTGCCTTCTCTCACACACATTTCTCTCTCTCTCTCTCTCTCTCTCTCTCTCTCTCTCTCTCTCTCTCTCCACGGTGAGTTGCAGAGTTTCCCTGAACCCCCTCCTCAGGCTGCTGTCAAACTAGGTAGCTACCTTGAAATCCAGTCAGGCTTTTACTGTTCTGTACAGCAGCAATCAGCCTCACATCTTCATCAACATCATTGGTAGATTTGGTAAGACAACTGGGAATTCTTAAAGGGAGGAACTGGTTAAAAGAGATTATTTTTCCCACATTACAAAATGGGTGGGGGGGGGGACATTGCAATGGAGGGATTTGCATTTCTGTATGATAATGCTGGACAGTCTGAAAATGGAATGATCAAATGAGAGGACATCTAATTTAGATGGGATTTATGTAGTGTCAGTTGTAAACATTACCAGCTTTATCATTTTTGTTTTATCACTAAAAAGTTGGTTATTCTGAGTGCTAAGATACAGGACTTAAAAAAAAACCTAATAAAACAGATCTCAGAGATACTCAAATCCAGACAGAGGAATTTAATGGAAAACCAATTTCAGCATTGCATTATAAGAATAGATATGAACAGCCTAAGGTTTTTAGATAACCAGCCTTACCATATCCAGTAACCTTATAGGAATTGCCAAATGGAAGAGTCTCTATTACAGCTAACTGGACTCCTGTGCCAATGTTAAATTTAAGGAGATTCAAGAAAGCAATAGTCTCTTATGAAAAGCATTCACCTTTTGTGAAAAAAAAATGTTAAACTTGTGATCAGTTTGTAATCCCTAAAGACTGGATAGGATTGGTTGAGGGGTTTTAGATCCTGGTCTACAATTATAATGGAGTACCTGGTTCAAAGAAGAGTCCAAGATTATTGAACAGTGGAGTAAAGCTAGAGGTAGGGAAATCTCCCAAGATCAAATTCTTGGAGAAGGAGATTATGCTACTATGGAAAGGCAAACTATATATGATGAGCACACCCTGGATTTATGCCGTGTGGCAGTTCTGAATGCATGGAACAAAATGGAGAAATCAGAAAGAAATTAGAGTCATTTACTAAAGATATACAGGGCCCAAAGGAAGCCTTTCCAGATTTCTTACAAAGATTGATTTCAGCAGTAAATAGAATAATAACAATTTTAAAAGTTTGACAAATAATAATTGAATCTCTGGCTTTTAAAAAGGCCAATTCTCTATGCAAATATGCTGTTAAAGGCAAGGTCACGACCTTTGGAGGAATGAATTCAAGATACAGTTAATATTGAATCTCATGATCATAATGATGCATGGATAGGAGAGGGGATTTCCAGAAGTTTGAGGAAAAATTAAAATGTCAAATGTTA